CAAGTATTAGCCCGCCCCAGTAACCCCCCGTGTCCGTCCCGCCCTCTCGCTAAGCGCCTCGACGGCCAACTGCCCAGACCGAGGAGAGAGACCTGGAGTGAGAGAGAATCTTGCCTCAAAATCTTGTCAACCTCACTTTCTGTCCTTTGGTCGCACTTTTCAACCTGGAATGACACCGTGCTTGCCACCGCGAAAAATACATCCGAATCTGCGTTTTCGGCGTTTATTATCGCATCTTTTTTTTTCTTCGCATGCGCGTCAGTTTTCCGGCGCGCTACTTACTCTCCCGCAATTACCGACCCCGACCATATTTGCGCTCGACGTCAGTGCTAATCTTTCCCAAACTCCACCACAGCCTGTCGCGACATCCTAACATCAGCCAACCCTCGCATTCCTTGAAAGAAGTGGGCCCCCACCGCGAGAGATCAATCGTCTGGTACTCGTCCAGGAACTTTTGTTAAAGAAAAACATTGCGACAAGTGCATGCAAGAGACGACGGGGAGAGCACGACCGCGCCCGCCAGCGGCCCTCCCTCCGCCGTCCCCCACTCCCGCTTCGACGACCATTACCACTACAACAACAACAACCCATAACAATACACGCCTTCCTCATGACGGCAGTTGCGAGCCCCCCTAGCTTCGCGGAAATCAACCGGCAGGGATGGATTAATAAGGCCCAGTCGCTCAACTCAATCAAAAATAGCGATGCCAGAGAAATGAACATGTTCATGTCTCGCAAAACGCTCCAGCGAACAAACTCGTCGTCGTCGGTGTCATCTACATCATCCAACGGTTCGACCTCGACCGTGATTTCCAACGCGAGTAGTCAACCAATAAACGGGACGCCTGCTTCTTCTGCTGCAGGAGATACGCCCGCTTGGCCAACGTCCGGAATCCGCAAGAAAGCCCTCTTAAAAGCAAGTCCATGGACAAATGGCAAGGCCGTCGACCGGGATCCACCTTCAGATTTTCAGAGATTAAATCTGTCCCGGGCACCGATTACGAACGGCGTCAATGGTGCACATCAGCCACAGTCAGTTTCGACGCCTTCTCAAAATCAATTAATGGCCGCCCAAATTGGCGGCTCACAAAGGCCCACAGAGGGCAACGCTTCGGGCAAGAGACCAGCCCTCTATTTGCTTTCCCTTAATGGAAGTTTTGAGCGCAAGACGATTGAGGTTCCCTTCTTCCCCGAAACATTGCGAATTGGACGCCAGACAAACAACAAGACCCTTCCTACTCCACAGAACGGTTTCTTTGATAGCAAAGTTTTATCAAGGCAGCATGCTGAAATATGGGCTGATGCTAATGGCAAGATTTGGATCCGAGATGTAAAATCCTCAAACGGCACCTTTGTCAATGGTTCTCGGCTGTCTCCCGAAAATCGGGAATCCGAGCCTCACGAACTTCAGACCCAGGACCACCTCGAACTTGGCATCGACATTGTCAGTGAAGACCAAAAGACAGTCGTACACCACAAAGTCGCCGCAAAGGTCGAGCATGCAGGATTCATTACTCCTAACAATAATGTTCTTGATATGAATTTTAGCGACCTTGATCCTTCGAATAACCCAGCCACGCCATTGAGCAATGCCGGATTTCGAGGACGTACTGGGACTCAGACCCCCCTCGGAGCTGCCCGCGCGCAACCTGCTAATAACAATGGAGGGCCGCCGAATACAACAGCACAGCCGCGTCAATACTGGCTAAATCCAATAACTACGGAACACATTGTCAAGAAACTTCACGTATGCAACTCCCTTCTGCGAGATTCACGGACAATCTTTACTAACTTGGTGGTAGGCCGAAATGCGAAACGCTAAGCTGCAGAATCAGGATCTCGCCAGAACAACTCAGTTTCTTAGCACTTTGCTATCAAAAGAGGACATCAAGAATATGGAGAAACCCGAACAACCCGAGCCGCCTAAAATTCAACTTACCAACGGTAACGTCTCGTTCCGATCGGACAACGGAAAGACTCGGTTCTCGGAGCCTCCAGCTCCTCCTCCGTCACAACCACTGCCTGAGAAGCCGGACGCAGCTCGCCCTGGCCCTTCAGATATCGCCTCACTCAAACGGACTACAACAGAACGACCAAAAGTGGCCAGCACCTCGCCGATCCGCGCAGACAATAATGTTGCTTTCCAGCAGGTTATGCAACTCACGGAACAGCTCAACAATGCCAAGAGGGCACTGGATGATCACAGCCAAAAGGTGCGGGAGCTCGAGGAGAAATTGAACCAGGAGCGGGAGGCTCGCTTGCAGGCCGAGGAAATGGTGCAAAAGATGGAAGTGAACCATAATAACAAGGTCAACGGCGTGGCTCCGTTTGTTGATAGTAATTCAGAGCTCGAAAAAGCTTTCGACCTTCCAGCTGAACAGACCACCACTTCAGAACCCGATGAGGACGTTTTCGAGGATGCGCAGCTTCCACCTCAGCCGAATAAGGCCGACATTTTGGCAGCAGAATTCCAGGCTCGGATAGAATCAATGGCCCAGGAGATGAATGGCTTGAGGCAGCAGCTGGAAGCTTTCAGGCTAAGAGCTGAGAAGGCCGAGACCGAGAGGGATGCAGACCGAAAGACGTTGGCTGAGATGGTAGAGCAGATTCGGCAGCGCGACCAAGAGGAAAAGAGACGGGCTGCCGAGAGGCAATCCCGGTCCAGATCCAAGGGCCGAAGGCGCTCCCCGAGCGCGGCGACACCATCTGAGAAGTTAGGATCCGAAGCCAACGGCAAAGCGATTGAGCCTCGTGCCCAGACCGACGGAGCAGCAGATGAGGTGGAATCTGTACCAACGCTGTCACAGACTACATCCGTGATGCCAGCGGCGGGAGCCTTGGCACTTCAGGGACAAGATCCAAAGTTGGCACATACATTACCTTATGCTTCCATGATTGGGGTTGTTCTCATTGGGATGGGCTTAATGGCTTACCTCAACGGCTGGCAACCAAAGTCAAGGCTGACAGATTTTTAAAAAGAGAGAGAGAAAAATAATAATAGAGGGGTGTCCTTCCCCATCAGCTCTCCAGTATGTGGAGACTTGTATTAACGACCGATATGAGACAAAACAAAACAAAACACTACCTAACCTACCCACTTACATTAATATTTTTCTTTTTTGGGGAGAGATGACTCGGAATGGCTAGCAAACAAACATTTTTAACTTTTTATATTCTTTTTTTGATTTCCTTTGTTTGGTGGTGGAGTCTTTTTTTCTTGTTCTTATCAGCACGTCCATATTATAAACATTTTCAGCGTCTTTAGTAGGGGGGTAAATCGTCTTTCTGTTAAGCGCTAGTCTCTCGTTCTTGTACTCTTCTTTTTTTTCTCTTATTCTTCTTGTATTGACGCATTTCTTCTTATTAAGCACTCACTGCACGCAGCCAACCTACCAATAACTTTGAATGGATTCTCCTTTTCTTCTCCTTTTTATTTTATTTTTTAATCTTTTATTCTGGTCTTTTATGTGTGTGTACAACATCAAGGTTTCTTGTTGATTGCTTGCTCAGCCTCGCGGGTTGGGTGTTGTATTCATAGTGGCTTCGTGAGGGGTGGGATGGGGGGAAAAGGTTCTTTTGAACAAAGGCTGGATTGTCAGGTAAGGAGGGAGGGTTCAGGTGGAAAGGTAAATTACTTTTAGAGAGGAGGGGGAAAAGATAAGGGGAAAAATTTGGGAGGTTTCCTTATAGGTTTTGTTGTTCGTTTTTCTTTTCCCTTGTTAGAGGCTTTGGAAATTGGGCGCTTTGCTGTAGGTATCTTTTTTATTTTATTACAACGGGGATTCCTTCAAGGGATGGTTTTTCACAAATGGGAAGAAATAAAAGATGTGGTTATTTGCTTCTGTCTTTTTATGGTCTCTTTTTGGGGGTGGTTTGGGTTTGAGGTGTGAGGAATGTATTTTGTTTTGGTGATGAGGTTGTTATGTAGTTTATGAGAAGGCGGGTGTGTGTATGCATGGACATGGGATGATGATAAAATATATATATGGGAGCAATAAGGGGTGGGAGGATAGGTTGGACTGAGGGGTTGTTTGCTGTCCATCTTGTTGGATGCAGAGGTATGGATGCATAAGTGCGATGTCCCTTCTTATACAAACTCGCAAGAGACTGTGAAGTATTTTGTTTTGTATGCAACCGAAAAAGAATTCATAATTTCTGGAGTAAATAAATCACCAACTAATCCACGTCATGTTAGCCATTGTGCTCACTATATTGAGTCCCACAGTATCATATGCTTTAAATCTACAGATTGGTTTTGCAAAGCTGAAGGTCCTGGCTGGTGGTATGTACAGTCGTGATCGTATTGATGTTAAAGAAAATCACGTGTTTGTAGTTTGCCAGATTTGGTACGCCCGTTTTGGTTTCCACTTTTCTCAAGTATTGAACCAAAGCAGTGATGTTCAATATATTTTGGTATCCTTTTTGTATACGTTTTGTTATTCTGACTGAAGCCGGGACAGTGAACCTCCCGGACATAACCCGAACTCAAAGTCTTCAGTTCACCAAATCTCAACGAATGTTTATTTTGACCATTTTTCCCAAATTTATATGCGGGGGGTTCCGGCTCAAATTTTAAATTTTTGATATCTTGCTCCGTACAAATTTCATATTATCCTCATTTTAAGGTTGTCGAAAATGGGTGATCTCATACACAAACTTCCTCATACCAATTCACAGTATCAAAAGCCAAAATTTTCAGCACATTTAATTTTTTTTTTTTAAAAAAAAAAGGGGATTGAGAAATATAAACAAAAGATGATGTTGACCTGGTAAATGGTTTTCCTTGACATTTGAAAGTATATATATCTGCATGATGCACTTGTTTAGAGACATTTTGGGTTTTGAGTATAACCCTCGGCTGTACTAATATAACCCTGACATGCTTTCCGTTTGGGTAGAGTATAGCACGAGCCATTTTACCCGAGAGGAGCCCAGCTGTTTGTCATACATAGTGCCACCAATCCATCACCCTACCATGCCTTTAAAATGCTCTTCTGTCAGGGCTGATGGTCTAGTGGTATGATTCTCGCTTAGGGTTCACTCTAAACACAAATGTGCGAGAGGTCCCGGGTTCGACTCCCGGTTAGCCCCAAAAAAGCTATTTTTTTGCCTTTTTTGCCATGTTTTATCTTATTTATGCCTCAATGTTCCCGGTTGGCCCTAAAGATGCTCTTTTTTGCCATATCCATCTTATTTATGTCTCAATGTTTGTTTTTTGTTCTCATCAGTCAAAGTCTTCTTTCTCCAAGGACAGATGAAAAGCTTATACGGAGTACCAGGTAGACTCCAAAAATATATTTCCGAAGGGGTCTGACTTCCGTTTCCTGCCCCTCACAAACTGCAACGTTGTTAGCTCCGTACAAGACCCTGCCTTTGCTCAATACTTCGAAAGAAATATAGAGCGAAGCCCACACCATGAACACCACCACTAGTTACAATACGAATCCCCCTTGAACGTTTGTTAGCGCGATACTCATGCCTTTTTGAACGGACCTTTTAAAAATAAATAGCCCTTCCTTAAACGAAAAAGGCCTTCTGAAAATAGATACGCCTTTTCGATATCAAAAAGGCATGGGGTACGTACTGTACGAAAGAAGATGATATTCTTATATCCGAGCGTAACTCCGACTCCAGTTCAGACCAGCACCCAAATCTATGCCAAGACGTTTGGTTGCATTTCCGTTGATTAACCGAATCTTAAACCCATGCCCAAAAAACGCACAGGTCAACCTGACACACAGGTGCATCGCCTCTCTTTTTCAGCCTCGTGTCGCGCCAAACCCAATTGTCATCCTTTTCAACAGTTTTCTCCAGGGTTGCAAACAACATCCACTCACCCACAACATCCCACGTCTCCCCGAAGCCCTCACCTTCAGGAAGAGCCTTTGAACCATTCCTCTTCTTTTTTTTCTTCTTGTTTCTTTTCAAAGACTCGCGGAAATAATAATTAGTTTGGCGTGACGATTACCTCCTTCTTTTTCATCCCTCGATTGCTACGAAAACCCGTGGACGCTGCATCCATTTTCATCGACGACGACCGTGCCGTTATCCATTTCATCACAGGCGACAAAAGAAGTGAAAGGTAAATATTATCAAGGTTTTCATGTACCTGCGTGTCCTTTGTTTCATTTTTCGATTTGGCGTTTTTTTTTGGAGCCGAAGCTTAGCAGTTAAGCTTCCGAGGAAGGTGGATGACGGAACTTTTGACATTCGGAGGTGGAAGATGTACCCAGACCCCCAATTAATATCACAATCAACCAATCCTCTTCTGTTCATAATGACACATTCTCCTCTCCCCCAAACTCGGTTTCTTTTCCTACTCGTTTCGCCGAGGGAGTTCCCAAAGGCAAGCCGAGTCTCACCGTCCAAGTGGGCACAAGGAAGCTTTCTAGCCTTATCCCGTTTTCTACCTGTTGTTGTTCAACACTTGTTCTTTTCTTGTCCCGGAGGTCGAGTGACAAAGACATGTATATACCTATCTTGATCCAAACAAATAATAGAGAGAGCTCTCTCCTGCCTCGAGAGGGAAGGAAGTGAAGCTCAACCTAAAACTCACCGGACACCGCCGTCCCATGCTTTGCTGCCTACGCACCTGTCATTGGCACCCTGCTGTCCGATGAGAGCTTCCGAATCATACCGCTCCGCTCGTCTTTCATCCTCGAGAGACTTATGGGTCTCAAAGAAGTCCCACCGTCATACCGCTCTCGACTTCGCCTTGGTATGAGAAGCCATCCTCGATTGCCCGCCCGCGCCCTCCACTCCTTCCTCTTAACCTTGGGCGCCTCATCGCGGTGTTCTGTATATCTCCAACACTTGGCTGGTCAAGTGTCACCTAGTGGTGGAATGGCCAAGATGGTTGTTCTGATTCGCTTCCCTGGATTTGGACCAGAGTGGCATATCTCCTCAAGAACTTCCTCGATTTTGGTCAAAGTTGGGTCCCAGTGATCACCACCCGCCCTTTCCCAGGCTGCAAACCCGGTGCCTCTTTTTCGTCTGAACATTTTAACTGGGACTCATCTGGTTTTCAAGGAAACAACCACCCAAGACGCAGATAATTCGTCCTATTGTTGGCTTCACCATTCTCTTCCTTCTCCTTGTTCTGACCAAGCTTCTCGTCTCGCCAACTGCTTGACTAACATTATTTCTCAAAGGTAGCTCCAAGGCTGCGGGTTCTCGATCTGCAACACGCTTCCCATCGGTTTCACATCTACGTAAGTCAATCTTTAGATTTGGTCATCTCTGTTGTTCTTTCTACTCGTTTCTTCTTTTGGCTTTAAACCCGCGAATATGATGTTTTCAAGGCAAGGTCCTGATGAATTCAGCAACTTTCGTTCTTGTCCACTTACAAGTTGCTCGTTCGGATTTTGTTCTGTTTTATTGAGTTCATTGGTGATGCACGGTCATGGACGTATTTTATTTTGTTGGTCTCGATTTCATGTATTCACGTCTTTTGTTTTCTGATTTTTATTTCTCTTGCGTTTTCCCCTTTTCCTGACGTTGGCTTGTTTCTCGTTCTCTCTTTGCCGTTTTGTCCTACACGATACGTCCCTCGTTTGGTCCCATATGCGTCACGGTGGTTCTTCTATCCTTATCACAAATCGCATCGTTCTGCTCATCCAGTGTCCGAATTTGGAATCGCCCTTTTTTCCCCTGCTGCCACAGAACACTAAAGTGGCTATGCTGTGTATACACGGGAAAACGTCCTATCGGTCACAGTTTCGGAGGCTGTTGTCGACTGTCAAGGGCATTAATTCGGTGCTCACAATGCATCAAGCCAGCAAATGCTTTAAGTTTGGACTCGTTGCATTCTTAGGCCTTGTTCTGGGATTCGAGTTCTATGAGCTCAATGCTGGTTTAGTTGGGATTGGCTGGGATCAATGTTGGGATGCTTGTCTGGGAGTGTTGACTTCGGTTGCCCCTTGAGTTACTTCTCCTGACACTTGCTCTCCTTACTTTAACCCAGTCGACCGCACGGGCCTTTGGTCTTCCATCGTTCTTGCTGCTGTTGTTGTTCTTGCACATACTGTGTTTTACAATATTGGGTACACGTGATCAAGCGAGCCTTTTCAAAATAACAGCCCTCGACTCAATCTCTTCCTTTCTTCCCACCTCCATCGCTCTCTTTTATCGTTCTCACGTCGCCACGACCGATACAGAGCACGCTAACCACGGTGTAGCTTTCAATAGCAATCCATCATCGTAGGTATGCATCATCTCTACCAGTATACCATCCTCTCATTTAGTCATATCATATCGCTCTGCACTACATTTTCCCGCCGTCATGTGTCAACAAGTGTTGATCATTGAGCGGGACTTCGCTCTTTCACATTCTTCCTGTTTCCAAGATCTGTATGCCTGGGTTTCGGAAATACTTAGGTCACTAATATACGATCTGCAGAAGCATCGCGACACAGAATCTACCATACAGCCATTCACAGAGTCGCGTCACCACCTCATCTCGCTTGCACCTACACTCTCCTAAGTCGGCTCTCTGACTTGCCCCTTTGCGGTTTGGGCAGATTGCAATTTACGACGAATCAATCGATCCACGTAAGTTGCCAAACGGCTTAACACTACCGACCTGTTTTCTACGTGCCTCCTCTCTCTCTGCCTGTCATTCAAATGGCATATTCGAGTCTCCTCCCGAGGGAGACTCATTCATTGACTCATTGTCGCAGCCGGCACCACGAGGAAACGGCGCTATTTGTTCCCACATCATCTGGCAATGGGGAAGAACGGATAATAACTCTTGTATAGGGATTCTGGCTGGGTTTGTCTCGCTAAGGCACAACGGTAGTTCAAGCAAGCAGGAAGCGCAGGCCTTCAAGAGTCTATCAGCACAGAGCCGATACTCTTATCCCCTTGGGCTTTGAGGATATATTTATTTCGTTTACGACCCGACTGTACGTACCACAAGCTCTCAGCATTTTACTTCACTTTACTTTCGAACAATTTGCCTATCTCTTTGCATATCATCCACTACGATCAGCCAGGATTCCTCAGTTTTACTTCGAATTCATGCTGTTGATGGGTGTCTTAACTTCTTTTCTTTCATTGTTCATGTATCTCTAATTTATAGCCAGGACTTCATACTTTACAATACTCACAATGGCCGACGAAGAGTTTGAGATTGACGTCTACGGCGATTCTGCCAACGACCAAGTCGATCAGTCTGCTCCTTCTAACCACAGCGGTACTGCCAATGGCAACCATGCCGACGACCGTCAGTATGAGGGTGACGATGATCATCCCGACAACGGCGGTCGTGACGGCGCCCAAGATTACCAGAGCTCCAACCAGGACGAAAAGCAGGTTGCTTTGGTCCCCAAGCAAGGCATCAAGCGCAAGGAGGGGTGTGATTCTGAACCCGAGCCTGGTGCGACCACGGCTCTTATGATCTCAGAGCTTGGCTGGTGGAATACTGACGATGACATCCGCGGCTGGGCAGTTCAGGCCGGCTATGAAGGTGATATCAAAGACATCACCTTTAGCGAGCACAAGGTCAATGGAAAAAGCAAAGGGTAAGCCAAGTCATGCAATCTTGTATTACATCACTGTTCTAACCATTATGCAGCCAAGTGTATGTCTCCTTTGCCACGCAGCAGGGGGCGACTGCTGTAAAGTCCGTAATTGAGAACCAAGGTGCCTCTGGCATCCGGCCAGGTCAGAAGGCGCCCCAGGTGATTTACTCATCACCGAGTCACAATCCCTTCCGTACCTTGCCTAAGGATACACCCAATCGCGGTCCCCGTGACGCTCAGAACCGTCTCCAGCCCGGCGGTCCCAACACGGGCCCGCATGACAACCGTATGGTCCAACACAACAACTACAATCAGCAGAACAACTCGAACTATCATAACAACATGAATAATTTCAACAGCAACCGCGCTCGGGGCCCCTACAACAACCGTGGCCCTAACCGTAGCTTTCATATGTATCAGTCGCAAGCTAACAATTCGTACCACACTGGTCCAAACCCAGGGTTCAATCAGTCCTACAACCAACCAGGGTACAATCACCGCAACAACTATAACATGCGTGGCCCCAACATGCGTGGCCCCAGCCGTAACATGAACATGATGGGCCCGGCG